TGAGGGACAAGCCCAGAACAGAAGAGTTCCACGGAAAAAGTCAACCACAGCGGCACATGACCCCTGCCAGCCAAGCTTCTCTGCTCACAGGCCACCCTGGTCTGGCCACTTGGACACCTGAGCAGGCAGCTGCTGGCTGAGAAGAGGGTTTTCCCAGGTGGGATGAGAGCCGGGGCCCACCTGCAGGGTGGCCTGTTGAGGATGCCAGGCAAGCTCTCATCCCACTGCCAATAACCTCGGCAAGGCCCCACACACCACTAGTCTCCTGCTGGCACAGGTTACTTCGGTTTTAGAAGTTTAACCATGTTTCTCATTCGTGGGTTCTGCCTGCAGCCCCCTTACCCTGTCCCAAAGACTTGGATCAGCCAGGGTCTAACCTGCACTAGGAGCCTGGGATCTGATCAGTCAGTGCCAGTGGCTAGGGTATGGAAAACTGCAACCGGATCTCTACACCAATGAATGAAGGAAGGAAGGAAGGAAGGAAGGAAGGAAGGAAGGAAGGAAGGAAGGAAGGAAGGCTTTTTCAGCAAGGAGGCAGCTCGGATTGGGTTTTGAGAATGCACCCCAAATTGGCTTTGCCCAATAGGGTTGTACTCTCCTACAACCCCAAGTAAAAGGGCCAAGGTGAGATTATAGAGTGAATTCAAGGTCGGCATGGGTTACAGGGTGAGACCCTGTCCCCCCTGCCCTGTAAAAAGATAGAAGAGGTTACTCAGCAGATAGTGGTGCTTCACCAAACCTGACATGAGTTTGATCCTCAGGACCCGCATGGTGAAAAGAGAGAAAGGACTCTCGTGAGTTGCCCTGTGATTTCCACACATGTTCTGTGGCACACACACACACATACAAGCACTAAATAAATAATAAAATCTTTGGAAAAAGAACAAAAGGAGGCCCCCTCCCCCACTCCCTGGTCTCTCTCTGGGCTCACCAAGTCGATGTGGTTTCCCAATGCACAGTTCAGCCTCCACCCCTGAGCTCTGGAAGAGGAGCGCTGGCTCCGAGTGGGACTGGAGGCCTCCCCGTGCTCTCTGAGTACTCGTCCCCACCCCTGCCAAGCAGAGTCCTTGCAGGGTTGGAGTGAGGGAGACCCCACAGAGGCTAGCCTCAGGAGAGTGTTGGGTACTGTCAGTGGAATTCCCACTAGCGCAAAGGAAGGCAGGTTTGATGTCTTCTTCAAATGGTAATGGTACCTGGTCATTTAGGCTATGCTCCCGAGAGCCTATGATGCACACACTGGTGAGAGTGTGTGGGCACAGCAAACTGGGTTGTGGGGCTGGGATTCTCATCCTGGCAGCTCCAACACACACATTTGGTGAAAGCCGACTTCTGGTGGGTCCTTTGTATTGAAGTGTGTACAGTCCTGGGAATTGCAGGTTTTTTTAAAAAAAAAATTTGAGAGACACAACAAATGAAATTTACTGCTCTGTCCATCTTAAAGCACAGAATGGTGACAGTTCGTGTTTTCCTAGCACCCCACGACCACCAGTCTACATAGCTCCAATCACCCGGATGGGAATTCCACAGTTACTCAGCAGTCAGACTCTGTCCCCTCCCCCTCCCCTGTTTTCTGTCTCTGTGGGTTTGCCCATTCTAGACATTACCTTTAAATGGACTCAGGTGACATCTGGGATTCCGTGTCTGCCTTCTTTCTCATGGCATAATGTTTTTTGAACTTTTCCCATATTGGGGCATGAATGCATGCTTCATTCCTTTTTATGGCCGAATACTATTCCATGGTATGGGCATACCACATTTTGTTTTCAGCCACTCAGCCGTCGATGGAGAATTGAGTTATTTCCATCCTTTGGCTACTGTGAATAGTGTTGCTGGGAGCATGTATACAGAAGGTTTTGTTTCAACACCTGTCTTCAGTTCTTTTGGATCTATGCCAAGAAATGGAATTTCCGGGCAGCTTTGTGTGTGACTTTTAACTCTCTGCCAGACTGCTGCCCACAGCGGCTGTGGCGCGGCGGGGGGACCCTGCTCCTCTACCTCCTCACCTGCAACTGGTGCTTCGCAGCTTCTCAGTTTTGCTCACAGGGATCCTGGTGGGTGTGTGGTGTTTCGCATTCCTGGAAGGATGGGCGAGGTCACATCTCACTGCCTGTGCTGCTTGCTTCTCCCGTGTCTCTGCGGGAACATGTCAAATCCTTTGCAAAATGGGGTTGTTGTCTGGTTGCTGAATTCCAACCGTGGTTTCCTGTGTGCTTCTCGGGCGTCTAATCTACTTGTTCATTTATTCGGGCATCCTATTTGAGCTGAAGAGGGCCCTTTCTCTGCAGGTCGCTCTTGGGCTCCCAATTCAACTGGGATTTGTCATTGTTCTTGAGGCACCTACATACTTTTGGAGGTAGCATAAATACAGTAACATTGGGACAAGCAGGACTGGCGTTTAGACTCTCAGAACACATGCCCACTGTTCCCCTCCTCGATGCCAGGGCTTGTGGAAGGGAGAAGTAGTTTTCCAGAGAGGAGAGACAACATGCTAACAGAGGGATATGTGGACACAGTCAAGGTGGACAGCGGAGGCAGAAGGGAGCGATCATCAGAGCCAGCCCCTAGGCTTATATTTTTAGACAGAATCAATGGGGAGCTATGGATGAATATTGAGCAGGGGGAGTGATGTGGTCAGATCTGGGTGGTAGAGGGAGCTGCCTGTAGGTGGGAAAGTAGGCCAGAACCACTGCAATGGTTTCCTGCTGCCCGCAGTTCACCCTGTGTCCCCTTAAGGTCCCCACGGCTTAGCCTGTTGACCTGGGTAGGCAGTTGAGGCTTTGAGGTCCAAGCCTATTGCAGGAATTTGGGATCAAGGAGCGCCCTTGAGGTCTGGTCCCAAAGTGACTGCTTTGCCGTGGCGGTGCCTGGTGGAGTTCTCATCCATCTCGTTTCCCCGGCTCGGTTTCCGAGGATTCTACAGTTACTTTGGGCTAGATTCCCCAGATTCCAGCCCGCTCCCAGCTCCACCCGCCCAGAAGCCCTTCCTCAACGCCAGCCTGGGGCGTGTTCACCCCATTGTGTCACAGGAGACCCAGGGGGGCTCTTGGCCAGATTAACAGGTAGAGCAGGTGGGCGGGTCACAGAGATTGAGTGTCACCGAGGTTGCGGCACATGCTGGGGGTTCAGGCCACACGGGGACTGCCCAGCTGCCTGGGGAGAACGGTGGCCTGGAAAAACACAGAGTTCTCAAAGGACAGGCAGTGGGCAGAGAAGGGCCCCCATCTTTCCAAGGGCCCAGGGCCTAGTTGTCAACTTTGGGGACCCCTGGGCGTTCCTCTTCACCATTGCTCCCACTCTGTTTTACCATATCATCATCATCATCATCATCATCATTTGGTTTTTCAAGGAAGCATTTCTGTGAATAGCCCGGGCTATCCTGGAACTTGCTCTGTAGACCAGGCTGGACTTGAACTCAACAGAGATCCGCCTGCCTCTGCCTCCCGAGTGCTGGGATTAAAGGCGGGTGCGCCACCACTGCCCAGCTCAGACTGTTGTTTTAAAGCTGGAAACTTTTTTTATCATTTTTGAGACAGGGTCACCTGTCGCCCAGGCTGACTTCAAACTTGAAGCAGTTGATAATGATCTTGAACTCGTGATTCTCCTGCCTCCACTTGCAGTGTGCTGAGATTACAGGCATGAGCTGTCACATGTAGTTTTATGTGTTACTGTGTTTTTAGCCTCGGGCTTTGTGCATGGAAGGCCAGATCACCACTAACTAACTGAGCCTGAGCCCTGGCCATTAACCCAAAGACTAGCTCTCTGCTTCCTCTTGATGCTCCTTCTGTGAGTACCTAGAACCAAAAAGATCAGTAAAATGGCTGTGGCAAACTTTTAGCAATTCTTTAGGAGGTCAGAGGATCGCCAGATGATCCAGGAAGTTCATTCCCCAGTGGTAGGTACTCAAAAGATCAAAAACTCAGACGGAGAGCGGCAGACACATGCACCTTCACGGCCGCAGCAGAGAGGTGGGGCTGGGTGTCTGTCCATGCGAAGTGGATCAGCCAGTGAGGGCCCATTGTGCAGGTGGAATATTATTCAGCCTTTAAAAGGAATGAGGCACCGATGTGTGCTGCGGCTCGGATAAACTTTGAAAGCATTTATTTCACTGAGTGGAAGAAATCCGGCCCCAAAGACCGCATGGATTGTAAGATTCCACAGACTGTCCGAGCGAGCGGCAGCCCCGTGGGAACAGAGACAGATTAGTGGCTGCCGGGGGCTGGGGGAGGAGGGGCTGGGAGTGTCTGCTCAGGGGTACAGAGTTTCCTTTTGGGACGTTGAGAAAAGCTTGGAACTTGATAGAGGCGGAGGTTGTACAATACCACGTGTGTGCTAAAGGCCACGGGGCTGTACATTTTTAAATGGTTAATGTTATGTTATGTGAATTTCCCCTCATTACAAAAACAAACAACTGTGTTGATAATACTCCAAGCTCAGAGTGAACTTGGCAAGAGGCTTCCTCCTTGGGAGTTGCCGGGAGTCATTACAAAGGCAGACATAGGCTCTGAGCCCAGCCCAGCGCACAGTAGGTGCTTACCTCATGTCGGATCCTGTCTGTTCCCAGCGCAGCCCCTCATGTGGAGGGGGGGGGCACTATTTCAGGTGTGTCTGTTTGCATGCTGGGGTCAGCAGGTGTTTACGCCCATTCTCTGAATTTGATGCTTAGGCTCAGACTGTCTCCTCAGGGTCACACACAGGTAGGAGCTGGATGTTCTTCGGGCTCAGAAGGAGGAGATAGGAAAGCCTAGTGGTCTGGGAGTTGGGTGTGCCACTCCAAAACCACCGGGGACTGTGCCAAGGCTGTCAGATCCCAGGTGGGTCTGCTCGGGGGGATGTGTGCCTGACTCAGACTTGGGGACCATGACTTCTGCAGGTATGAACTGGTCTGTGGTTCTAACACTTCCAGGGCCAGTGAGGTTCAGTGGAGGGAGTGTTGGGTGCCAGTGGGGGACAGCAGACTACCTGAGGGGTTCTCAACCCCCATCTTCTCTCTGCCTCCACAGAGCACTGTCGTCCGTGGTGGCCCTGGGAGCCAACATCATCTGCAACAAGATTCCTGGCCTGGCCCCACGGCAGCGTGCCATCTGCCAGAGCCGACCCGATGCCATCATTGTGATCGGGGAGGGGGCGCAGATGGGCATCAATGAATGCCAGCACCAGTTCCGATTCGGCCGCTGGAACTGCTCCGCCCTGGGCGAGAAGACCGTCTTCGGGCAAGAGCTCCGAGTAGGTAAGGGTGTCTCTGGGCCTGTGGGCTGGGGACCAGGTCACCTACCAGCCAACCTAAGTTCAGGCCAGACAGCCCACACAGCCTGTGTGTATGGATGAGCATTTTAGCTCTGTGCTGTGGGGTGGGGGCACAGTGACCCCTGTAGACAGGAGCAGAGGCTGGGGAGTTAATACGGTGGGTGGGGCTGTTCTGTATCTTTAAGTACCCAGGCCCCTCCTCTGCTATCTGTGGCTGCCTTGTGGAAAGCAGGGAGACTGTGTGAGGCTTTGGACAGGAGCTGAGTACTGCAGCTCCCCCAGGGAGGACCGTGAGATGCCTCCTGCACCTTGCTGAGGGATTCCAGCTGCAGAGCCTACAGAATGCTCCAGTGATCGCTATGACCCCGCAGGAAGGATGCCGCATGCTGGGGTGGATCTGGGCTAAACAGGGGTGGTCTCCATTTGAAGACGGGGATCATGTCAGGTGGGGTGGCTGCTAATGGTACAGCCCTTGGGGGTGTATGGTGGTGCCTGCCCTTGAAGCACTGCATGAACAATAGGGTGCCCATTTCACAGATAGGGAGAATGAAGCCCAGGAAGGACCCCACTCAGGGTTAGAAAGAGGCTTAAAAGAAGTTTCCAGAAGGTGTCTAGAGCTTTATCCAGCTGTGTGATCTTGGCTATGTCTCTCGGGGCTACTCTGAGCTTCGGTTTTCTTATTTGCAGTGTGAACTCTAAGCCCGTAGGCTCTTGTCTGGGTTTCAAAGTCAGTAGGTGTTCAATAAACACTGTGGACAGCGTGTGGGCAGGGATAGTGAGTGACTCTGACTTCCCTGTAGACTATCTCCAGGTCAGATGGGAGAACAGTCCAAGGCTTACTGGCTGCCTAGCCTTCAGGCCCACAGTGTCCCCTATACCCCAGAGGACTGCAGCTGCCACAGGGCCCAGGCAGGAGCCGGCTCTACAGGGCTGCAGATGCCAGCGTGGGGCTGGGGTGGTGTAGGGGAAAACTCCCGCGGGCCCCTTTGTGGTGAGCAGCCTGTGGGTGGCACCTAGTGCAGCCAGGAGCGTGGCGCCGCCCCCTCCCTGGGGCTCTGCCACCCAAGTGCAGATCACTCCCTCCAGGTGCCAGCTGGGGGGGGATGGTGGGGAGGGCAATAGTGGGCAGAGGTACCCGCCTTGTGTGGCTTCCCACCCACTTCCCCAGGTGCCATGTTTGGAGGCATTTGTGAGCACAGGGAAGAAACTGACGTTGTAAGGTCATCTGCTGTCACTCAGCCTGCTCAGAGGTCATAGACCCAGAGTCTGGTATCACCTCATCTGGCAATCAGGGCAAGCCTCAGAGAAGTGGGGGCTTGAACTTTGGGAACACAAGAAACAGCGAGAGAGACACGTGACAGCCCTGAGCCTTGCCCAGTCTGCCAGTGACTCCGCACACTGTCCTCCCAGGAGCAGTGCTATCCCCCATTCAGTTGTCCCCTTACCTCAGTGTCACCTTTCGAAGGACTTCATAGCCTGTCCTCAGGAAGTGGGCCCACTAGCAGCCAGGAAGGGCACAGCTCTGTCCACGGAAGGAGGCCACCGAAGGAGTGCTGCCCCGTGTGTCCCTCCTGCACCTTGCTCCCTCAGGACCCAGGCTGCTAATGTCGCTGTTGTTCAAGAGTTTGTATTTCCCCGCTTGTGCCCCTGCTCTTGAGAGGACTGTTCCTGCCGCGGGTGCTTCTCCTAGGGAGAGCCTGCGCATCAAGAACTTCAGAAAGACTTCGGAGTCCTCAGCAGACTCTCTCATGCCCAGCCCACAACTGTCTGCATCCACACAGCTCCTTGTCCAGGTCATTAGTGATCCGTGTTGCTGACTGTTCCCTTTCCTTGGCTTGCATCTGGACTCATCAACTTGGGTTCTCTCCTGTCTCTAGCTCTTCCTTGCCCTGCCCTAGGAAAGGTCCTGTCCCCAGGCACACATGGATGACTGTCTTCACAGTTACCCCTGACAGCTCATTGTCACCTGATGCTCTGAGTCTCACTGGTCCACGGACACTTTGGCTCTTCTGCATGGCATCCCACCTGACTGTCATTTCTACTTCCTAGCCCTCTACCCCTTTGTTCCTGCCAGGATCTCTTCCGGGATCTCTTCTCCGACCCTTCCCTAGAAGCTCTAAATGTCCTCTGGCCTCCACAGTCCCAGGTACTGGGTCAGACAGAGGCCACCCTGTGTCCTTTTGTTTTTGCTCTGTGGGTAGATGTCTAGCCTAGTACACCAAAGGATCTGGGTTCGATTCCCCAGCACCTCCTAAACCAAGGTGCTGCGGTAGGGTCCTGTCACCCCCATATTTGCCAGCTACTTGGCCCACTTAGTCTGTATGAGACGGTTTCAAATCCATTGCCAATAAAAAAAGAGCAATGTTTAATCTTTGCTATAGCTGTCTGCTGCCCTAAGGTAAGGTTACCTTCCTATCCCAGAGCCCCTCACCTTGATTTTCTCCCACCAGAACCCTCAGTCCCATTTGACTCTCCTGTCTGCCCAAGTAGGCTAGATCCCTTCCTGTCTCGTTTCTCAGCCCGAAAGGCCTCTCCCCGTGCTATACCTCTTTACAGTTCATCTCCCTTCCTCCTGGGGGGCTTTTCCGCACCCTCAAGCTGGGTCAGCCTGTGCCTGTCCCTAGCCCTTCCTGCCCTGGGATGGGCAGGCTTCCTGGAGCCCAGCCTGGGTCTTGCTGCCCTGCCTTAGCCTCCTGTAGCTTCCTGCTACACTCAAGCAGGGCAGCTCTGGCCACAGGCCGAGCTGATGAAGCAGGGGCGGGAACCGCAGGGGCTTTGCCTATATAGTCTCAGTGGCTGAAAGTCAGGATCAACAAGCAATCTGTACTGTGAACAGGCCACTTTGAGAGGCTTGCTGGGTGCCTGGCAGGCAGCTGGGCGCTTTCTTGGGAGCAACCTCTCAAGCAGGGCCAATTAATGATGGTCCCCAAGAGGGGCAATGGTCTGGATGGTGGGAGAGCCCCTTTTAGGCCTTGCCTGTGACCTTGGGCCAGCCCTAAAACTTATATGTGGAAGAGAAACCTCCTGAAGACAGCAAAACCCCTCAGCCAAGTCCCACTCCTTCCCCAACACGTTTGCAGTGACTTGTATACTGCCATGGCCAGGACGCTCAGTGCTCTCATGCTGACCACGACACTAGTCTTGTCTGGCACACTGATAGTGCTAGTGGCTTTGTTCTTTTGAGAAGGTCAAGACAGTCTTTAGATTCCCTGTGGCTGACATGGTATTCCATGTTTGGTACCCTCTGCTCTCTAGCCTGACTAGTACAGTTCCCACAGAGCTCCAGGGATGATGGAGCCCTTTCTTCCATTGACTGAGAATGAACTTAGGGGTGATGTCTTTTAAGTACGGCCCAGCTGTGTGCCCTGAGATGGGAGGGGGGGACAAAGGTGAGGGATGAGAGTGTATGTGTGGGGTACCTGTATATTCCAAGGAAGCCTGCTTGAAATGTGGGTCCCCTTGCAAGTGTGGGAGCTGCTAACAGTCACCGTAACCAAGCCAGGACTTCCATTGAAGTCTTCCCTAGAGGAGAGCCCAGGGGAGGAGACCAAGAGAACGGAATATGCCAAGGCCCCGAGGCCAGGAAGCAGAAAGTGTGTTTTTGAAGCACAGGTGCTTTGTAGGGGCAAGCTGGGATGGCAGTGTGGGGGACCTGAGGCTGAAGGGTGCAGAAAGACAGATGGAATGCCATGAGCCCCCCAAAGAGCTCAGAGCATCAGAAAGATTCTGAGCATGCCTGAACCCCAGTTCCTCCTGAGCCTAAGGCCCCTGACCCGCTAACCTGGCCCTGACTGTGCTCTGTAGTCCCCAGCTCCCGCATGCAGCATTCCGCCCTTCATGTGCTGGTCTCAGACATGACCAGGCATAAGGGCCGCCCCTAATCTGTGCTCACGTGAGCAGACCAAGGCTGACTCCTGCTGAGCTTTGTTATGGGGACAGTGTCCCTATAGCAAGGTTCCCCGCCCCCCCCCACCCCCCACCCCCCGTTTCCCGTCACCCATGTTACATCAGGAGAGCAGCTGAGGCCCTTGGGGAGGGGGTAGGTTGACCCCTTTTTGGTCACCTGAGAGTGGAAGGTCCTAGGGGAGGGAGGGTGGCTCCTCAGCACGTGCGTGTACTGGTTGCTCTTCCAGGGCATTGCGCACAGGATCCTGTGGGGCAGGGAACACTGTCCCCAGAAGGTCACTGACTGCCTGATGGATGGCTGTAGGCCTCTGCTGGCAGGTGTGCTTCCTCTGAGTGCAGAGCAGTGTAAGACACAGCAGGGCTCAGACCCCAGGAGTAAGCGTCCCTTTATCCTGCGGTCTATTAGAGTGATACTGTTTGGAAATACCGGCTAAGTGAAAGATCACCCATATTGGCCTCCCATGTTATTTATGCTTGCCTTAATGTGACCACATTGGGAAACCACAGAAGATACCCATAGCACTGTTCTGAGAAGGGATGAAAGCGACTTGGCTCACCTGGCCAGGGCAAAGGCAACATTTGAATTTAGATCTGATGGTCTTTTCCCAGGGCATTATGGGTCAAGGCAATGTGAGGGACAGTGGTTGCCATTATCAGCCCCTGCGGTGGTTCAGCGTGCTGGCATTAAACACCTGCAGTATGCCAAACCAGGGTCCTGCCTAGGGATGAGACAGGAGCTCGCTCTCTTTCAGTTTGAAGATTTGTGTAGCGGTAAGAGCTCTCTAGTGGTTGACTGCTTTGCTTCTCTGATCTTTTAACTTGAACCCCAATATCTGTCTCTGGGTTTTTATTTTTGGTGCTACAGTGGCAGGGCTAGAGGGACCCTAGCCTTGAGGTCTTCAGACACCTGGTCTGAGAGTCTCATACTACTGTTCCATTGAACCAATACCAGGGCCAGCCAAAACAGCAGAACAGACATTTCTTATGCATGGGATTCTGGTTGCTGGGACTCTGGGGACAGTCGTGAGCTTGGGATGTGATGGGGTCCCAGACTAGTGCCTGAACTCCACCCCTCGT